CACACACACACACACACACACACACACACACACACACACACACACACACACACACCACACACACACACACAGTTTCAAGTGTAGATATGATAGAGCCCAATAGGTTCAGGAACCTGTACACCTGTTGATTGACGGTTGAGAGGCGGGACCAAAGAGCCAGAGCTCAACCCCCGCAAGCACAACTAGGTGAGTACTAGGTGAGTACACACACAAAGGGAAGGTACTCCACTGGATAAGGGAGTACCTAACCAACAGAACACAGCGAGTCGCCGTGAGAGGTGAGGCCTCGGAGTGGCGGGAAGTCACCAGTGGAGTCCCACAGGGATCAGTCCTTGGACATATACTGTTTCTGATATACGTAAATGATCTCCCAGAAGCAATTGCTGATCATGTTGATCAACCCTGGCTGATCCCTGGCACTTCTAAAGTCTTAGGGGACCTTTCTCCACATTTCACTTACCAAAACCATGAAACCAGTACGGTGTAATTTTTTTTAATTCCCCGTCGCTTATTTAAACTAGTAATAATATCTAACCATCTTTCTTTTTAATTAACTCTCTAAGATATCTGACGGCAGATAATATAGTAATAACTTTTGCTATTCAAAATGTATATTAAAAATCACATTAATGATGAATTAAATTATAGACCTTACATAAATCATGACATCAAACACCTTTTCCTAAGAACTTCAAATAACTTCAAGTTTGTACAGAGAGTAAATCACAATATATTGTCTGGAAATTAAGATCTCCAACCCACACCACTAAAAAAGTGACGTATCGTCCTTCCTGGACCGTTACCAAGTCCTGTGAAGCAACGTATCTTCCTTGATACGTTGGTCAGACCCATTCAGACGAATGGGTCAGATTTCTAGATCGAAAGCCTCATAAGAGGATGTAAACTCAATTTTGACGTCAAACCTGCCCATTTTGACGTCAAGATCCCCCCCCCCCCCAAAAAAAAAAACGTATAAATCACGCCGGTTCATAAACATCCGCGTTTTCTATGCGAGGGTCCATCGGTTTGGCTACGTTAGGTTCGGGCAATTTAGTGCATCAGTTTAGTGACGCTGTGAACGCTCCAGAGTCCGCCGGGCTGCTCAGCTATTAGTTCAAATATTATTATGTACACGGGGGGGTGCCAAACTCCGGTCACTTGGCACACAGCCGCATTTCTTTCTATGATGTATTATTAGCTAACCACTACAGGTAGATGTATCTCACAGGAGAAACTCGTGCTTCACCATGTTAGGTGCACTAGTTCGTCCTTAATGTTGCTGGCTAACACAGGGGGCGCTAACACCATCACACACATCCACATACAACTTTGTATTAACACTAACCACATGTTACAATTCTCTCACACGCACACGCACGCACACACAAACGCACGCAGGCACACACGCACGAACGCGCGCATACGCACACTTAACTAAGTCCATACCTAGTTGAACACAAGACAAGGTTAGAAAAGATTCAGAGGTATGCCACCAGACTAGTCCCGGAACTGAGAGGTATGAGCTACGAGGAAAGGCTACTGGAGCTAAACCTCACGTCCCTGGAAGAGAGAAGAGTAAGAGGAGACATATTAACCACTTACAAAATTCTCAGGGGAATTGACAGGGTGGACAAAGACAAACTATTTACCACGGGTGGAACACGAACAAGGTGGAAACTGAGTTCCCAAATGAGCCACAAAAAACATTAGAAAAAATTTGTTCAGTACCAGAGTAGTTAACAAATGGAATGCATTAATCAGTAATGTGGTGGAGGCTGACTCCATACACATTTTCAAATGTAGATTTGATAGAGCCCAGTAGGCTCAGGAATATGTACACTAGTTGATTGACAGTTGAAAGGCGGGACCAAAGAGCCAAAGCTCAACCCCCACAAGTACAACTAGATGAGTACACACGCACACACACAAACGAATTGTCAACAAAAAATCTCTAGGCCCAATGACACGAAGTGAATGAAATTGACGCCAAAGCTCACGAGATAAGCAGATCATTCCGAACACCCGTGAGCCATCTAAAATATCCCTCCTTGCACGCCCACCTGCACGCAAGCCTGCACGCCCACACGCTGCTGACAGGCCAACGGACACAGTCGCACGTCAGACACGCCAAATGTAACTCCTGCACTATGCAAACTACTTAGTGAACCATTTCTCGTCCTCAGCCATACAAAAAAATGACAGGAAAAGGAGTGAAACACCATTTAAACATTATTAATCCATTATCTCCCAGACTAGACCAACACTCACAAGCTAACATCTGCCTCCCCTGTCCACCCTCCCCCTTCCCATCCGGCCCTTAACCCCATCCTCCTCCCCCACCCCTCACAGAGCTTGACACAGGTGCTTGGGGAGGGGTTAATTATCACAGCAAATTAACATAACAAACCCACTTTGGAAACGACAACAGGGAGAGGGTATCAACCACGACAGTGGCCAACCCACAGGGGGGAAAGGGGGGGCTGCCAGACACGGTTGGCTCAGGTGGTGGGCGGTGGAGGGGAAGGGAGTAAGGGGAAGCGAGGGGAGATGAGAGGATGTGTTGGAAGAGGTGGGGAGAATAAGGGAAGGGTGGAGATATTAAGAGAGAGGTGGGGATTGGAGACGATGGGACAGGAGTGCAGGAGAAAAATGGAAAGATTAGGTTATAGGGATATGAGGAGAGAGGAAAAGAGGGGGATGAGAGAAGGAGACGAGGAATAGAAAGACTGAAGGTGTTACAGCTTTGTATATATTGGCGAGGGTTAGCGGTGGGTTTAATGTAAGAGACAGGTGTAGGGGGGAAGGGGTGTAGAGGACAGAAGGGGACGGGTAGAGAGGGGGAGGAGAGAGGGGAGCAGGAGAGAGGGGAGCAGGAGAGAGGGGAGCAGGAGAGAGGGGAGCAGGAGAGAGGGGAGCAGGAGAGAGGGGAGCAGGAGAGAGGGGAGCAGGAGAGAGGATGAAGGAAAAGTCAGGATGGGGAAAATGAGAGAAAGATCTAGGGGAGAGACGGAGATAAAAAAAAATTGAAGTAGAATAAATAAAGACTACCATGGTCACCACACTATCACGTGATCATCACACACTTGGTGGACCAGTGACGCCCTGTCACCACGTACCGGGGGTCATTAAGCTACGGTGTCACTGACATCACTCTCTGGGGTCAACACACAAATATAGACCACCGAGCCATTTCACTGAGGTATCATCACATCACCCCAGGTCATCACAATGTGTCAAAGTCAATAACTCGGACATATTGTGATGACCTGTGGGGATATACTGGGGACACAAGGTTCCTGCCAACGGTGGGGTTATTATTGCAGGAACATGACACTCGGATTATAGTAATATAGGGGACAATACTCTTTGGGGGGGGGGCACGACACTTGGGTACTAAGAACACTGGGGACATTGCTCTGGGGAGGGTGACAATCAACAGTCACTATACAAGGCAGTTTACATTTATGGCGAGTCACACAGTTACTAGTCCTGCTCCACACCCACCCAACTGGGCGGCAGCTTTACAGTCATGTGCTCCACACCCACCCAACTGGGCGGCAGCTTTACAGTCATGTGCTCCACACCCACCCAACTGGGCGGCAGCTTTACAGTCATGTGCTCCACACCCACCCAACTGGGCGGCAGCTTTACAGTCATGTGCTCCACACACCCAACTGGGCGGCAGCTTTACAGTCATGCGCAGGCTGCACCTACAGTCAGCAAACGTTGGATACTTGGCTAAGATTCCCGGGCAGTACATTTTTTTTTTTTTGAGATATATACAAGAGTTGTTACATTCTTGTACAGCCACTAGTACGCGTAGCGTTTCGGGCAAGTCCTTAATCCTATGGTCCCTGGAATACGATCCCCTGCCGCGAAGAATCGTTTTTTCATCCAAGTAGACATTTTACTGTTGCGTTAAACAGAGGCTACAGTTAAGGAATTGCGCCCAGTAAATCCTCCCCGGCCAGGATACGAACCCATGACATAGCGCTCGCGGAACGCCAGGTGTCTTACCACTACACCACGGAGACTGCAAAGGGATTTCAAAGGGAAAAAGACAAAGGCATTATGAATGAAGTAGTTACACATTTTTTGGACACCATTGATGGTGTTATCTCTGAATTCCACGATATTTTCACATTCCATTATATAATGCCGCAAAGTATAGTGCTGCTGACAGAGTTTACATTTGGTCAAGTCTACATCAGCAGGTGGTACAAACTCCCAGAGGCACTTGTAGCCGAGCCTAAGCCTAGCAGTGGTGACATCTAGAAGTCTATGGGTCATCCTTATTGGATGACCCCATAGACGTGCGGTTCTTCCTGCATAATAGAATGATGATAGATGGGGGAACTGGTATAAATTTCACTTTGTCTCAAGTCTACGATATTTTGTTGATATTCCCGGAATATTACTGCCCTCAGGTTGCTCAAAGGCAGTCCAAGATGGTAATCAATTCCTTCTTTATGAGAAAAGGTTTTGCCTAACTCATCAGTTCTATCATGCATTCGGGGACCAGTATGGGAAGGAATCCACAGGAGACACTCTGATACCATCACTGATTATTTCATTTTATTTGTGTCTTCATTCAGACAGAAGCATGTCACAGTTATACCTTGGGGAGCTGAGTGCAGTCAAGGATGACAAGGCCCTTGTAACAGTCAGTTGTCTAATGAACTGACTCCCAATTTCCCTCCATCATATCTACTACATATATTTATAACACTCACAATACAGCCCGAAGCAGTTG